GGGCCGGCCGGGAGCCAGCGTCCGGTGGTCCGGCCTCCCGCCAGGGGGCGCCGCCTGCTCGGCCCACCTCCCGCTCCGCCCTCCCGCTCGGCCCAGGCGCGGCGGCGGCGACGGCGACGGCGACGGCGGCGGCGTTTCTGCCTGGCCGAGCTGGCCCGGTACGAGCTGCCCCACGATGTGGGTGGCCCCAGAGGAGGTGCTGGTGGCCAACGCCCTGTGGGTGACAGAACGGGCGAACCCTTTCTTTGTGCTGCAGCGGCGCCGGGGCCACGGCCACGGAGGTGGCCTCACGGGTGAGAGGCGCGCGGCGGCCGGGCGGGAAGGGCGCGCCGGTGGCGGGGCCAAAGGACTCGCTCGGACGGGCCTGTCCTCGGTGCGTCGACGCGGGCGCGCACGTCAGCGCGCGCGGCGCGGGACGGGGGTGCTAGGCCCGGCTTGGAGGGGGCAGGAGACCCGGGCTGGGCCCGGGGTGGGAGGTGTGGACGAATCCAGGGGTCGTGGGCGCGGGACAGGGCGGAGGGCGGGGGTGGGTACGGAGACCTGGGAGCGCGAGTCAGAGGCCGGGCGGGGGCGGGAGGCGAGGACAGAGATCTGGGCGGCGCGCGATGAGGACGGGGAGGGGACTGAAGGAAGGCAAATGCGCTGGCGTTTGGAGGCTGGTCGGGAGATTTCGGTCAGCCAGCGGCCTCTGCCCGGATTTGGTGACGGAGAGCTTCCCGGTGCTGAGCCGAGGCATGTGCAGCTTCCTGGAGTGAGATTTCACAGCTGAAAGGCAGTGAGATCTCCCGGGCTTCTTTCTCGGCCTCAGTTTCCTGGCCTCTGAGGGGCCAGGAGATACCTTGTGCTACCTTCATTCCCAGCTCACGAAAGAATTGCCCTTTTAGCAAATTCAGAGTTCCCCCGAGCTGCAGGCTGGCCTTCACCCCAGTCCTTCCATCTTCTTCCCATTGGAGAAGGCGCCATTGGAGCTGCAGACCAAGGGTTTGCCAAATGACCGATATACAGTGTTCTGGTGAGCTTACCAGGATATGCCCCTGTGCCTGTGTGGACATCACCACTCACCCAGGACAAGACTGGACAGGCATCTCCTGGGGTTGTGTGGCCTGTGGATTCCAAGGAATGTCCCCTCGGCATTGCCTCTGCAGGTGTCTGAGGCCCCTCATGCTCCAGGGCCTGCACAGAAACTACCAGAGCAGAGCTGGGTCCAGCTCAGGGCGGGACCAGTGCCTGTGGTCCTCTGGTGGCCGTTACCATGCAGGACTTTGGGCACAATGTTGCCAGATTTTCCCATTTATCAAGAGAATTTTCCATGAAACATCCTGAATTTAAACATGAGCCCCTAATAAAGCCCCATCAGATGCAGAGACTTCCCATGGGAGACCTCTGCTGCCAGCCTCTCCTGGGCCACACCTCCTAATGTGGAAGAGACTTCTGATCCCAAGAAGACTATGTTCCCTTTAGTGCCTTGGGCTCCCTCCCAACGGCCTGGAGAATCATGGGAACCAGTGCTGGACTGCCCTCCTGACCAGGCTGATCAGTGGTCACCCTTGGAAGCTACTGTAAGCCCGTATAGGAAATTGAGGTGCAGGTGCCCAGTAGCTTTTGTTTGCCTAGGGTGCCAGTGTGTCAGATCAGCTGGTGTGCTTTGAGCGCTTGTTCTGTACTCTATTTCCATAAATGGTCTCAGCAAGTGGGTGGGTCCCTCCGTGCTCCCCCTTCCTACACAGAGAAGGCCCTTTCCACCTCACTCATCTCTCCGTATCCCCCAAGAAACCACTTGTTGAACTCACTCCAGCTAGGTTTCATGAGCCCTGCCATGGCCTTCCCTGTGCCATCATAGACATCATGGCCTCCTGACCATCTCCCAAGGAGAGGAACAGTTAGTGATGTGGTTTCATTCCAGCTGTCTTTTCTAACAGATGCCAACTTGTAATCCTCATTGAAGAGTCTGAGTGTGATGAGACGGTCCATCCATTATAAAGCTTTCAGGTCTCACAATGCATGTGTGCCAACAGTGTAAGGATGAAAATTAAATTTCCTAAACCAGAAGAGAAACTCCAACAGAAATCATGAAAAAACATTTATTCCAAATGCTGATAAAACTTGAATATGCCGTTTTAACTGCAATTTAGGCATTTTAGAAAATTTCAATAAAACAAGTGAGAAATTACAAACTTCTGACTTGGATGTATGTGAAAAGTACCCTTTTTTATAATTGGTAATTTTATTAAAGACTGAAGGGAAAAAATGATTAAAATGGAATATGAAACAAAAGTTTTGAAGCTTGAGTAATAAAATTAATAGAAATGATTCTGACATCAACAGGAAAATGGTAACAAAATATTTTGAGACCATACAAAAAGCAGCACTTCACTAAAAGGAAAAAATAAATAAATTTTGAATAGGAACAATAAACAAGTTTTTAGATAGCTTGTAATTCAATTAATGAAGAGGAGTTAATCAAGTTAGACATTTCCTCTGATTTGTCAGAGAAATTGTGACACTGACAAAGGGTGTATGTGATAAGAAGAAAAACTTGAAATGCCTTAAAATGCTTTAGTTCAAAAATGAAAAAAAAGGGCTGGCCGAGTGGCTCATTTGGTTAACAGCTTGCTGAAGAATGCGAGCTCTGAGCAACAGGGTCGCCAGTTTGATTCCCACATGGGCCAGTGAGCTGCACCCGAACCGAGCTGCCACTGAGCTTCCAACAGGTGGCAGGATGGCTCAGTGGTGAGAGCACGTGCTTCTAACAACAAGGTCGCCTGTTCGAGAAGTGGGCTACATCCACCCGCAACTAAAGACTGAACTCAGCACCTTGAGCTGAACTGCCGCCTGGATGGCTCAGTGGATAGAGCATGCAATCTTAACAACTGGGCTGCTGGTTTGACTCCTGAATGGGATGGTAGCTACGCCCACCCCCAATAAGACTGAACACAGCACCTTGAGCTGAGGGGCAGCAAGCTGCCGATGGGCGGCCGGATGGCGACTGGACTTGGAGCTGAGCTGGCTGTGCCCTCCACAACTAAGACTGAAGGACAACACTTGGCTGTTCCCCTTCCCCAGTTCCCCAACACTGTAATACTGTTCCCCTTCCCCAATTCCCCAATACTGTTCTCCTTCCCCAATTCCCCAATAAAATCTTAAAAAAAAAACTGGATCAGTGTTTTCCCAAATTGGATACTTTTAAAAATTTGCATGTCCTTTTCAGTCATGACTTTTGAGGCTACAAAGAACTTCCTTAAACGTCTCACAATAAAAATGACCCTGTGGCAGAGGAAAGACTACATTATCTTCCTGTTGCTTATATGGAAAATGATGTTACAAAATCACTTATGGGAAAAGCCATCAGAATACACAGCCAAAAATGTCAGGGGGGGCCAGCCGAGTGGCACGATGGTTAAGAACTGGCTTGGAATGCCAGAGGGCCCCGGTTCGGATCCCACATATGAGGGCCAGTGACACTGCCCTCCACAGCTAAGATGCTGAACAACAGCTCAACCTGGAGCTGGGCTGCTGTGAGTCACCGGTGACGGCGTAGGCTGCAACGCCTGTAGCAGTGGGTTGCCATGGGCTACCGTGTGTGGCCAGCAGCCAGCGTGAGCGGCCAGCAGCCGCAGTGAGCGGCCGTCCAAAAGCCGGCAACTGATGTGCCTCCCCCGGGAGGAGCGCAATGATGGTGCCAACTTGGGCCAGTGAAGCAACGTCCTCCACAACTAAACTGAAGAACAAAATGACAGCAACTTGTCTGTTCCCCTTCCCCCAATTCCCCAGCACTGTTCCCATCCCCCCAATTCCCCAATAAAAATCTTGAAAAAAAAAAATGTCGGGGTGGGGGAGGATATCTGAAGAGATGTGTCTGGAAGTTAATGAAACACATTGTATAATTTTTCTGGATTTTGTGATGCTTGTATTGTTTTTCATTTGTAACTGTTGTACTTTCTCAGTCTAAAGAAATACTTGTTTTCAAACCTAATTTTGTATTTTTCTTCAAGAGGGTCTCCCAGATTATTTAAGCTTTGGGCTTCATAAAACCTTCATGTGCCTCTGCTCACATTAGGAGGATAAGGAGGAGGATAAGCAGCAGCTTCCCAGAAGAAGTGGGAGGGGATTTTGTGATAGGGATCAGATACCAGCTGCCTTTGAGGAAAAAGAAGTCATTTGATGGAAGAGGGTGCTGCAGGGTGTTTTTCCCTCTGGGCCCAGCCCTAGCCCCCAGGCTCAGCTCTCAGCGCTGCCCTCCCTCACCCTCCACCTCTCCCCCTGCTCCCAGGTCTTCTAGTGGGCACCCTGGACGTTGTGCTGGACTCCAGCGCCCGCGTGGCCCCTTACCGGATCCTGCATCAGACCCAGGACTCGCAAATCTACTGGACGGTGGCGAGCGGTAGGTGCCCTGGATTGCAAGGGGTGCTGGGAGGACTTGCCCTGGGGGGGGGGGCCAAGAGGGAGGAGGGATGCAGCCCGAGTTCCTGGGCTGGGTGTTGCCCCCTGAGAACCCAGTAATGCCCCTCAGCACAGCCCAGGCCAGTGTCCCTCTTAGGAAGGCAGCTCAGTGTCCTGGAGCCGGACAGTGTCCTGAGTCATTTGTGAGCATTTGGGAATGAGCACATGCAGAGCAGTGAAAAACCTGAGTAACCTGACAGGTGCCCAGCTGAGGTGGAGCAAGGTGCCCTTCTGCCTTCTGTCATCTCAAACCTTAAATAAGTGTCCTTTTCGCAGCCTAAGTGCCATGTTTTTCCCATTGTTTTTTCTCTGCAATTCACTGTTTAAAGTGGCCCAGCTAGTACGGAAGTGCTGTGTGGTGTCCCTGTGGAGGCAGTGCATGCTGGGTGACAGTGTGCTGGTGACAGGCCCAGGTGACAGTGCACCGGCCACAAGTTCGCGGTTAGGGAGTTAACTTATATTAATAAGTTGCCTTTAAACAGAAAGACTCATAAAACAATTATGTATTGATCATTAATGAAAATGTGACCAGAGGCTCTAAGGAACTTAGCCCTGCTGCTTCTTTGGGAGCAGCCTTGATGAAATCATTGTTCTAGGAGATTCTCTGGGACATAACCACTGTGAATAAGGAGAATCGGCTGCACCTAGGAGGAAACACACCCCCCTTCCTGAGCATCTGGGAGGAAATCCCCTTCCAATGGGTACCTGGCTTAGGCCACTCGGATAAAACAGTCATAACCTGCCAACAGCTCCAGAAGGCAAAATTTTGGTTTCCCTTATTTTGAAAATGAGCAAATTGTAGCCCAGAGGAGTTAAGACACTTGCCCAGGGTCACACAGAACTGCAGTTCAGACCCAGAGCACCTGCTCATGTCCCTATGCCCCTATGCTAAATAGCTCTACATGCTAGAAGCTACGGTATCACTGTCCCACAGAAGAATGGTTTTCCTTGGGGGCTTGAGAAGAGATGATGAGAGCACTCAGAGCTGGACCTCAGCTTCAGGGAGGAGGGGTCTGGGCTGAAGGCACAGGGTGGGCAGCAGCACAGCCCCCTTTGCCAGGACCTGAACAAAGGTGTCCTGCCACTTTGTGTGAATGAATAAAGGCTCAGAAAGCTGAGTTTGTCCAGGGCCAAGCTAGATGGCCGGTAGGATTCCTGCTCCCCTGGTTCTAGAGCCTAGTGGGGCACTGGGGGGCTGGTTTGCCCACAGGAGGGAGAGGCTCCCTGTGGGGTGGGGACTGTCCCTGAGCGTGTGCCTGGGCCAGCAGTGTTCTTCCTTGGGGAGTGGATGGGTAGGGGGCAGTGGCAATGAGAGCCACCTCGATGGGGAGAGGGGGTGTAGCTGTGCTGCGTGGGAACCGCTTTGGTGGCATCGGGGCCTGATGCTGGGGGACCCCAGCCCTTAGCCTCAAGCCACAGCGTTGACCTGCTCCCACTTCCACCAGCCCACCATCCTTGCTCTGGCCTCTGCCATGCCTCCCCCTCTACGCACACCCCCTACCCCTCAGTTCTCCAAAACCAGACATGGCCCTGCTGGCACCTGCAGTGAATCCTGACTCCTCAGCCAGCCATTGAAGCACTTCCAGCATCTGCTTGCCTCCATTTCTGTCCTCCTCCCTTCAGCTCACATCTGGCCTTCAGCCAGTCAGGACACTTATAGGGCCTAAAGTTTCCATCTCCACCAGCATCCCCCCATGTCCATCTAACCTCCTTCTCCCGCTCTGATGTCACCTCCTATGGAAAACCTTCCCAGAGTCCCCAGGTCTAAGGACCCACCCTTCCTTCTTGCTCCTTGGGACTTGCCCTGTCTCCAGCAGCACTTTCACAGGGAAGGCTTGCTGGCTCTCCTGCCAGACTGGCAGCTCCCTGAGGGTGAAGGTAGGCTCTGCAGCTGGGTAGCCTAGGTTAGGATTATGGTTTGATCACTTCCCAGCTGTGTGACCTTGGGCAACTTACTTAACCTCTCTGTGCCTCAGCTTCATCCTATAAAGTGAAAATAATGGTACCTGTCGCCAAGGTGCTTTAAGAATTAAATAAAATAATCCACAAAAACTGAAAACAAGTGTCAGTGATTAATTTAATTAGCTTCTATATTCTTTTTATTTCCAGTACCTAGCATGGAGATGGCATAATTTAAGTGTTCACTTAGTACTAAATGAAGATTGTTACTTTTAACTAATAATTCTTTTAAATGTACATATGTAAATATTTATAATTACCCGCAGTGTAGACAAGATTTTTTCTGTTTTAGGCTGCCAAGAACGTGTGTGTAAAAGGGAATGAACAGTAGAGTTGCATCATGTGCAAATTTAACTTCAAATGTGGGCCTTGGCAAAAAGACAGAGAAAGAAATCCCTTCCCCTACTAACTAGACAAGGAAAGGAGGCCTTAATAGACATGCAAAGAAAAAAAAATGGTAATGTATGGATGATGCAGACTAGTGTTACTTGCATGTCGTGGCACACTGAACTGTATAAGCTCAGGTTTAAATGCTTTCACATGAGTGTCCTCGCACAGGCCCATGGGGAGGGTCCTTCCTTAGAATTGCGTGTTAGGGTGCTGAGCTGCTGGCATAAATGTAAAGAAACAAACATCAACCCCAACCAAAACAGCTAGGCTGTGACATGTGACAGAGCAATGAGCAGGTACCTGGGCAGGGAGATGGTGGGGACCAACTCAGCCAGGCTCAGGGCGGGGTCAGGGCTGAGTTTTCAGCTGGTGGAAGGGTGTTTCCAGGTAGGGGAGGGTGGGGTGACCGGGATCAGGCACTCAGCAAACGTGTCCGTAGTCCATAGCCGTGCTGTCCTTGTGGCTTTGCTGAGACTACTCCATGCCAAGTGTGAGGGTCTTCCCGGAGTCACATGATCCACTGGGCCAGCGGGGTGCTGACGATCGTTCACCGTCCCGTGCCAGGACAGCCGTGGGGATGCCGGGCCTTCATACCTCTTCTTATTCTTGTGTTCATTCGTTCAGAAAGCAATTATTGAGTGCAAACCCATGCCTGGCACATGCAAAACCCCCAAAAATCGGGTGCCGGGGGCAGGGGAAGCCAGGCCATGCTGACACTTCTCTCATCCCTTTGCTTCTCCTCTTGGGGCCCCTTTGCCGAGTTCCCTGCTGGGAGCAGACGGCACAGCTGCCCCTCCCTTGGGGAATGGCATTGGGCTGCCTTCTCTCAGTTTTTCCATTTGCACTAGGCCGTCCATGCCCTCCAGGGCCCCTCCCTGAGGAGGACGGGGACCACCTCCTAGGCAGGCAGACACTGGAGGCCACCCAGAAGCTGAAGGGGTCAGACAGGGCTTCCCAGAGGAGGCAAGGGCAGGGCGGGGATGTGAGCCGGAACATGACGCATTGCTGGCAGAGGCCTGTATGGGTGCATCTGACCTCAGAGGGGAGTGGGAGCTGCTGGCCCGGCCCGGCCTGCCCAGCCAGAGACCGGCAGTCGGGGCCAGGGGCGCAGGGGCGAGGGGTCCTGCAGGAAGCTCCAGCTGCCACCTGTGGACTCCTGTCACTTATACCCAGCCTGACTGTGTCTAGTCAGTCATCTGTATATCGAAGACCATACTATGTCCTATCTCAAAGAAAGATCCTTGTAAGTCAGCAAGCTTGTAGATGTGTAGACCATTTCTTGGGACACATAGGAAACTAGTGGTCATTCTGACTCAGCATTAGTGGGTAAAGAGGATTTATTCCCCATGTAGCTCTCTGCAAGTCTGCCTGAATTTTTTTATTTTTCATTTTTACAGGACCATGTATGATTTTTGTAATATGTGTATATGTAAAGTTTAAGAAGGAAAAGAGTAAGCACCTTAAAGATTGTCATCACTTGGATATAGCAAATATGGTCCCCCATGTAATCTCTCTTCTTAAGTTTGTGCTTAAAGCCTGGTGATTGTGTGATTCTCCTTTTCTTTACTCCACCAAACCTCCCCTAGGTTCTTCCCGCAAAGAGATCACAAAACACTGGGAATGGCTGGAAAATAACTTACTCCAGACGCTATCCATCTTTGACAATGAGGAAGATATCACCACTTTCGTCAAGGGCAAGATACACGTAAGGTTCACTTGCCCTTCTCTGGGCTGGCTGGGTTCACACATGTAAGTTTATTTCGTCTTCAGACAACATGGTGGTGGTCTTATCCCCAGTTCACAGAGGTGGAAGCGAAGTGTCCACTGCCATTCTCTTGATGTTGAAAGGGGCAGGTGAGCGCATTGCCCACACAGGCCCCGTCTTCTCCTGGCCAGCCTCTGGGACTCCCACTCCCCACAGAGGGCCTGAGAGATGTACACGGGTATGCAGCTGCCCACCAGCTCCTTGACTGGCAGAGGCAGACACTGGACATGATAGAGTTGAAGCCATGTTTCTATTATAAAACTAACATGACTTAAAAATGCATACCCTTTGACTCAGCTGTTCCGTTCCTTGGAATTTACTCTGTGGTGCATTCATATGTGTCAGGGTGTCCCCACAACATGTCTGCTGAAAGACTGGAGCAGTGCCCCCCAGGCCCCTGGTCAGGAGCAGCATGCTCTCTGCAGCATGAGAGACTTGAGGCTGCAAGCAGAGCTTGTGCTGGGCACTTCCTGTGTCCTGTGCTGAGCACTGTATTCAGGGGATGGGTAAGTCGAATGTGATACGCTTAGTGGAATATTTCACAACCATCAAGGTGATAATTATGAAAATTGTAGCAATATGTAAAAAGCAGAAATGGTGCTGTTTAGGCTATTTCTTCTTGGGGGATAATTAACACGATAATGAGCATTTTATCTGGGTGTATGTGTGCATTTTTCTTTCTGTTGGAGTATTGCCTTAGGTTAGATTCCTGGGAGGGCTCTTACTGGGTAGTTTCATAGTGCTGCGTTGCTTTGGGCCCTTGTGACCTCATGACACCAGCACTTCCTAGACCTGGCAGATGGCACCAAGAGTTCCTCAGCTCTTCTCTGTGCACTTTGGGTTCAAGGCGAGACCTGTGTTGCCTGCTAGCTCCAGAGAAACAGGCAGAGGACAGATGCAAGCCTCCACTGTCCTCATGAGCAAGCTCGGCTATTGCAATAGCAGTAATAATACTAGTAGCAGCATTACTGCATGCTTCCTATATGCCAACCTCAAGCAAACCAATCCGCAAAAGAGAACAAAGAAGTTCTAAATGACTCACGAGTCAAAGAAGAAATGGACATTAGAAAATATTTAGAACGGAATAATAATTGAAATACTGTTGCATATCAGAATTTGTGGGATGCAGTGAAAGCAGTGCACGGAAGGAAATGTAAAGCCTTTGATCTCACATTATAAAAGAAGAAAGGGTGAAAATGAATTAGCCAAGCAAGCATCCAACTCAGTAAGGACTCCAGAGAAACCAGGAAATTAGAAAGAAGGAAACAATAAAGGACAGAAGTTAATTCCATAGAGAACAAGGGAATAATAGGGAAGAGCAGCAAACCCCAAAATGCCCACAAGCCCGTGGTGGAGAGGGACCTGGGGGCAGCGCGAGCCTCCTGGAAGCAGCCTTGGGGAAGGAATGTGAGAAGCACTTGTACAGAAGCAGAGTTAAAAGAAAAAGAATGCTATAAACAGCTTTAAGCCTGTAAACTTAAGAGTGTAGACAAGTTGGACACTTTATTAGAATAATATGTATTCATTTGCGATTGCTGCTGCAACAAGTTACCACAAAGTTAGCAGCCTGAAACAACACAAATTCACTATCTTTCTGCTCAGGAAGTCAGAACTCAGAAATGGGTCTCATGGGCTAAAATCAAGGTGTCAGCAGGCTGCCTGCCTTCTGGAGGCTCCAGGGGAGAATTTGTCCCCTTGCGTTTCCAGCTTCTAGAGCAGCGGTTCTCAACCTGTGGGTTGCGACCCCTTTAGGGGTTGAACAACCCTTTCACAGGGGTCGCCTAAGACCATCGGAAAACAAAAAGATATTTACATTACGATTCATAACAGTAGCAAAATTACAGTTATAGAGTAGCAACGAAAATAATTTTATGGTTGGGGGGTCACCACAACATGAGGAACTGTATTAAGGGTTCAGCATTAGGAAGGTTGAGAACCGCTGTCTAGAGGCTACTTGTGTTCCTTGGATCTTGGCCCCTTCCTCCATCTTTAGTGCCAGCAGTGTGGCAACTCCCAGTCAGTCAGTCAGTCCCCCCATCTCATCCCCTCTGTGACCCTGATCCTCTTCCCTCCTAAAAGGAACCCCCTGATTACATGGGCTCACCCACATAATCCAGGATCATCTCCCCCTCAGAGCCCTTACTTAATCACTTCTGCAGAGTCCCCTTTGCTCTGAAAGGTCACATTTCCCCAGGTTCTTGGGATTGGGGTGTGAACATCTTTAGGAGCCATTATTTGGCCTACCACATCATGGAACTTACACTGAGGCTCAGGAGGAAATAGGAAACCTGAATAGTCCTAAAACTAACTATTAAAGATATGGAACCCAGAATTTAAAATTTACCCTGTGATTTTTATAGTGTAGCCGTTATCGGCCAACAAACAGAAAATCCCAGGCTGTGAGCCAGGCAGGCTCATTCCCGTTGGTGGGAAGTGTTACTCCTTGAGTAGCGGCTGGTGGAGAATGCAGACAGGCGTGCCAGCCTCTCTGTGTCCTGCTTGGGGGTCTCCCGGGTGCAGCTGCTGGTGGGGACCCAGGAAGGTGGCCCCCAAGCTGTCCAGGGCCCACCTTGTATTTTCCAATGGAGGGATTACAGTGGGTGGGGAGACAAAGGCAGGGCCTTGATAATGAGAGGGCTTTGCCAGGCCTTTTGCCCAAATTAGAGCCAGTTCCTACAGGACAGTCCACAGACACCACAGGCAGCTTGAGGGCGAGATGTTGAAGTCGCAGCTACAGGAATACCGGCTGCCCTGAGGTAGGCGGCATCCGAGCATACCTTACCTTCGGGTCCTCCCGTGGCTCCTGACTGTCCTTCCTCCTTGCCCATGGGTGGAGGGACAGGAGGCCCAGCACAAGCAGCAGGGGAGGCCATAAGCACTGGCCTTGAATTACCTTCGTGTATTGAGTAATCAACCTAGAAAGTCTGTGGACACCTTTTGAGCTGAGTGTGCTAAGAGCCTCTTACCCCACGAGGCTTGGGGCTGGCCCTGTGGTCTGGAGTGACACCCTGTCACCCTGAGCCAGTGAAGGTGCAGGCAGGACACAGCATGGATGTGCCCTGAGGTGAGTAGGCCCTGAGGCTGGTCTGGGGGTGGGGTCGAGAGGCAGGGACCCCCTGGTATATGGGGGTGAGGGGCTCAAATACAGAACTTCTCTAAGACATCATCATGAGAAGAGCACTTCACAAAACAGTGCCACAGCACAAAGCCATCTGAGTAAAGAAAGAGGGAAAGAGAAACGCACGTATCTGCTTAAAGGTGCTCTAGTGCCTGTGCGTCTGGGAGGAAACCAGGAGAGTGGCTTCGGGGGTAGCAGGAGAATCCCTTTTCACTGAATACAGTTTTCTACTGTGCATTTTTTAGAAATTTTTTATAAAAATAAGTGTTTATGTAAAAAGTCACTGCTCTCTGCTAGTGGTGATAATAGTTCAGGGAGTTTAGGGAACTTCCTAGTCACATGGGTGGCATCTGTCCAGCCACATGCTTTGACCACTTGCTGCCAGAGCAGCTGACTGGGCCTGCCCCTGCTGTCGCCCTGAGGCCAGCATCCTGGTGCCACCACCTGGGTTCCCCGGGCTCTGCTCCTGCCTTTGCCTGTCCAGGCGACGGGAACCCTGGACCTGCTGAGAACCAACCCTCTTGTCCTCCTGCAGGGTATCATCGCGGAAGAGAACAAGAACCTGCAGCCCCAGGGAGACGACGACCCCGGGAAGTTCAAGGAGGCCGAGCTGAAGATGCGGAAGCAGTTTGGGATGCCTGAGGGGGAGAAGCTTGTCAACTACTATTCCTGCAGCTACTGGAAGGGCCGTGTGCCCAGGCAGGGCTGGCTCTACCTGACCGTCAACCACCTGTGCTTCTATTCCTTCCTGCTAGGCAAGGAAGGTGAGCGCAGGCGCCTCTCTGGC